AGCAACTATCCCAGGAGCAAGCTCCTCACAGCCAACCTACAAGGAACAAGAAAGTGGTAGCATGGTCACAGGGATGATTCCATCGCCTTCGCCATTACTGTAACATGCCCAGCTCTAAGAACCTACGTTACCTCACAAGGCAAAAGATAAGAGGGACATGGTAAGTCCATCAACCATCCCTAACACTAGAATAATTGTTACTGCTCTGTATAAAATGTAGGGAAATCTTGCTTCGTTCATTCATTCACGGCAATGGGCATTTATTGCACAACTGTTGTGCGCCAGGCCACATTCTGAGGATTTAGCAGCGAACAGTAATGGAACTTAATTCCAGTTGGGAAGGAAGGGAACTTCCTTTCTTTCCAAATTTATTTTCCCCYTCTCCTTTAAATGTCACGCAGAAGAGCCTTCAAAACTTTCCCAAATTCCTCCCACAAGCTTTTCTTGACCTTCCTACTTTATCCCAAAACCAAGCAATCTACAGATCCAATTTTCCAATACTGAAAAAATACGAAAGGGACCTAAAGTAAGTCATGAAACATAAAATTCAATGCTACTTGGTTATTTTACATGCATACCTTCCAGGCTAAATTGTTAACACCTCGACAGCAAATTATGGTTGTGTTTTATACTATTTCGTGGCCCAGTGCTGATCACGGTTTTCTACTCACGGTAGCTAATCAATAAACGTTTGCTAAGAATGCTAAAAGGTCTCCCTAATCCCAAGGCCTGGCACTGGAATTTAATAGCGAGCAWTCGTTAGCTGCATCCTTCCTCCTCTCAGGACACTTTCCTTTCCAGGATGACCTCGTGAGCAGGTTGGCTATTAGGCGCCTCRGGAAACAGCGTTTGGGGAATAAATTCCTTTCTCTCTGCCAGGGCCTGCCTGCCTCACCTGCCCTCTGCCAGGACCTGCCTCACTCGCCCCCTTCCACACCTAACGCACAGCCTCCTCCCAGCGAGTCTGGCTCAGCAGCATCTGCCCGGCGTCCGCACCCGGCTCCGCCGCCGGGACCCCACGGCGCGCTTGGGACCCGAGAGACCCCTCCCCAGGGGGGACTCTGTGCCCGGCCGCGCGGCCGGGTCTCCGCAGCATCCCCTCGGCTCGCCCCTCCTGGGCCGAGCGCGCCGCGCGCGATGCAGCGGCCCCGGCTCCCAGCGCGCCGTCCCCGCCTCCTCCGCCCCGCACCCAGCAGGCTCCCGCGGTCCGGACGCTGCGCGGTTCCCTTCCCGTTCTTCGCGGGCGCGAGGCTCCAACCCCGCTCTCCGCTCCCGCAGCCGCGGCGGCCGCCACGGACTCCGTACCTGGCTCGCTTCCCGGCGAGAGCTGGGGGCGTGGGGAAGGTCTCCAGTGGCCGCAGCCTCCTCCGCCTCGTTCGGCCCGGCCCCCTCAACTGAGGCGGCTGCGGCGCCCGCTCAGGCCCCGGAGCCGCCCCCGCGACGAACGTTCCCAGCGCCCGGCTCGCGCCGTTCCCCGCCCGGCACGCGCAGCGAGCCCGCCCCCGGCGCGAGGGCGCGAGGGCGCGAGGGCGGAGGGCGGGGGGGGGGGGCGGACGCGCGCCGCCAGCGCGAGCGCGCGGTCGGGGCGGGGCTTCCGCCGCGCCGGGGAGGGGGCGGGGAGGTGGGCCGCGTTCCCCTCGAGCCCCGCCCCCGCCACCAAGCGAGACCCGCCCCCGGCTCTCCAGCGGGTGTGGGGCGCAGACTGACCTGGCCCCCTCCTGGCCTCTGCCGSTCTGGCGGCGGCGGAGTGGCGCTTCGACTCCACAGGTATCTGCCCCGCCAGGTGAATGCCCTGCTTGATGTGACTACAAGGTAAAGAATGCAAAGAACCATCCCCGTGAATCATTCATCCGCCCCTCTCTGGGTAATCCTGCYCCGGTGACTTTCCAAATTAACTCAGCAAGCTCACTGAACACCGACTCTGCGCCTAGCGCTGCACCAGGTGCCGTGTGGGTACAAGGTCATGGTCACGGCCCCTGGTCTAAGGAGCGCATAACTCAGAGGGAAAAGCAGTCGTGTATAAACAACCAGGTCTAGTGACCCGTGCAAAGGCAAGCCACAGTCAGATGCTGTGCTAGGATGAGGAAGAGATTACTTCCGCTTGACGTGCAGAGGCGTTCCTGGAAGAGGGGCATTTATGTTCAGCCTAGAAGAAAAAAAAAAGAAGTCCTAGGAAAAAGCCAGGAGGGCATTAAGTCTCTGTAAAGAACTTGAGCAAAGAAGCACAGGTGACCAAGATTTACCAGCTCAGCACCTTTTTAATATTGTGTGTGTGTGTGTGTATGTGTGTGTTCCTTTCCAAACTGTGTGAAATATAGGAGAAGGTGCCAAATTAGGAACAGCCAAACCTTTTTAATGGCCCAAGTGATCATTTTTCTCAACATTTTTTAAGACTCAAAATGGCAACGTCCTTAAGAGTTATCGGTTCATCAGGAGTGAAATGCGGCTAAGCAACCCCAGGTCAATGCGCTTTGCGTTGAGTGGTTTTTACTGCTTTTTGGCACCTTATGCTAAGGCAGATCAAGCCACCTCCTGCTGAGGTCCGCCTGCCTGCCTTTAGAACACCCTCTTCCTTCTCCTCTCATCTGCCTATTTTTAAACTCCTATAATGAAGAAAATGCTTATAACCAACTTTAAGTAAGAGTAAACAGTTTCTTCAAAAAAGAGTTTCACCTTTCACACATGGCTTGTGCAAATATTTTGCATACCAGAGAAGACTAAGATACTAAGACTAAGATACTAAGATACTCAGAATAGAGGTACGAGACATCTAATTCATTTTTTTTAATATTTTTTAGTTGTCAATGGACATTTTATTTATTTATATGTGGTGCTGAGACTCGAACCCAGTGCCTCACACATGCTAGCCACTGAGCTACAACCCTAGCCTCTAGTTTATTCTTTGACCCCTTATTGAGCATCCATTACAGAAAAGGCATTGAAAGGGTAACTCACTGATTCTCTTCTTTAAGACAAAGGTGTAAGAGATACAAAATGAGTATGTAGAGGCTGGAGTTGTGACTCAGAGGTAGAGCACTCGCCTCCTACGTGTGAGACCCTGGGTCCAATCCTCAGCACCACATAAAAAAATAAATAAGTGGGCTGGGGATGTGGCTCAAGCGGTAGCACGCTCGCCTGGCATGCGTGCAGCCCGGGTTCGATCCTCAGCACCACATACAAAGATGTTATGTCTGCTGAAAACTAAAAAAAAAAAAATATTAAAATTCTCTCTCTCTCTCTCTCTCTCTCTCTCTCTCTCTCTTTAAAAAAAAATAAGTGAAATAAAGGTATTGTGTCCAACTACAAMTAAAAAATAAATAAACAAATATGTACATATTGCTTGATGTGTTTGCCCAATTGATAGAAACCAAGGTTTCAGTATGTGAGCTAGACTCATAACTCAATTTTGGAATTAACTACTTCAGGTGCACTTGTCCTCACATCTTTCCATCTCTGTTCTGTGTTTTCATTACCTCCATGTCCTCAGAAAACCTTTCAAACATCTTTCACTAATTCTCTCCCTAAGATTCCAAAATTATTGACTTCTCTTGTTCTTTTTCTACCTCATCTATATATGTTCAAGCTCTTCCAGTCCTGGGGTAGGGGCAGAAGGAAGAAGTTTCCACCATGATTACTATTCCCTCTGTATTTTTCTTCACAAACGTCTTGAAAGCCATCTGAAGTCATTACCTCCTCAGAGGCTTCTCGCTCTTCAGTCCCTGGCTCTGCTCCACCACTCCACTGCCTATTCTTAGTCATTAATGCTTCTTTTGATCCTAAATGCTGTGGCCCAGTTAAGTCTTCATTTTACTAGAACTTCCAGTGGCACTTGACTATACAAGCGTGCTACTCTTTTTGAAACATGGCTCCATGACATGATCCCTCTTTTAACCCCTTTAGCCACTCAGTTTCCAAAATTCTGTCCTCAGCTCATCTCACCCCACACCTTCTCCCCGAGCCATTTCACATACTCCATATCTTCATCTATCACCCATGGCTGCTACTCCAAATTGCATTATCACTAACTTAGGCCACTCCTCTGGGTTCCTCATGCACAAAAGCCTACCAGAATATCCTAGAGATATTCTGCATTTCAAAAAGTGTATGGCACTACTGTCCATCCAGTTGCCCATTCAAACACCTCGAATTATCCTTGCTGCTTCCAATAATCAAAGTCCTTTTCTTTTGTTGTTGTTATTGTTTTGTTTGTTTGTTTGTTTTTATACCAGGGATTGAACCCAAGGGCACTTAACCACTAAGCCACATCCCCAACCCTTTTTATGTTTTATTTTGAGACAGGGTCTTGCTAAGTTGCTTTTAGCCTTACTAAGTYGCTAATGCTGGCTTCAAACTTCTAATGCTCCTGCCTCAGCCTCCCAGGTAACTGGAATTATAGGCATGCACCACTGCACCCAGCTACAAAGTCCTCTGGATTCTACTTCATTAATACTTCTAGAACCTGTCCCTCTTAGCTCTTCTCAGCTAGGCTAGAGCAAGAGCCTTTATCTGCTTCCCTACTATACCTGTATCTCCAGTTCCTTCTAATCCATGTTCCATATGCGGGTTGTAGAAAACTTTCCAAATGTACCACACATGGTGTCACTACACAGCGTGGCACACAGACCCTCCATTAATCTAGCCCTTGCCTATCTATCCATTCCATCTTGTGTTGCTGTCTCCACACACACATCACCCAAATTCCTGGAATGTTTCTGCTTTCCCTTACCTCCATACCTTTGTGCTTGTTTGCTTTCTATTTGGAATTTCATTTGAATATAAGCAAAGGGTGTGCAATGTAAGTGTAGTTGAAGTTCCATGTATTTTTTTTCTCTTTCCATATGTTTTATTGGTGCAATGTAGTCACACATAATAATGGGATTTGTTGTTACATATTCATACATACATACAGCTTAACTATAATTTGGCCAACATAACCCCCTAGCACTTCCCGCCTCCTTGCATACTCCTGCCCCCTGGTTCCTTTCCTTCAGTGATCTCCC